GCAGTGGAGAAGAGACAGCATAGGAACAGGGGTGGCCATCACAGTAAGGAAATACAGCTTTCTGATAGCAGGTAGCAGAGCAAGAAATGTCTACTAGGAAACATCCCTGGGGTCTGGAGGAGGGAACTACTAGAGAAGCAATTAGCAAAAATAAAAAGGAATATATACCACTTGCCACACAGCACTGTATGAGACAGGAAAAGCTTTCTCATGCCTTGGCTACATTCAGGCAATTAGAGATCCAAACTCAAGAATACACATCTGTCTGTCCCTTAGCATGCACCTACAACAGGCCAAATTAACAACACAAAATATCTATATTGCTTTACTTACAATAATAGATATCAATTAACCCTTAGACCTCTGCAATACAAATTCTGCAGGCGTGTTACTCACCTAGTTTCCCAACATACTCACTAAATGGAAAAAGCCATTTCCACATTGTGACTTTGTTGTGGTTTAACCTCAGCTAGTCATTACACACCGCACAGCTGCTCACTCACTTCCCCCCACCTCCTCCACAGGAGGAGAATCAGAGGAAAAGACAAGAAAGCTTGAGATAAGAACTATTTAGTAATTGAATATAAGTGAATTTTACAGTGATACTACTAATATTAACAATACTACTAGTAACATGCAATGGAAAATAAAACAAATTGCAGTTTGCTCACCACCTGCCAACCAACACAGACTGTTCCTGGGTACTGAAAGCTGGAGCCAGAGTGCCTGAGAGCAATCACAGCAGAGCCCGAGCAAACCCCACACGCAAGAGCATGACCGAGAAAGCCCACCAAACTGCCAACTAACTACTGAACGAACAAACAAGCTAGCTAACAACATAATGAGATAACGAGCTAACAAGTTAACAAACAAACGAGCTACAGCCTGAGCAAACAAGCTAGTGATCTAGCAAAGGAGCAAGCAATGGCCCCCTGGCCCATCCCCGGCCCATATACTTGGTGTGATGTGCTATGGAATGAAATACTCCGTTGGTTAGTTTGAGTTAGCTGTGTGAACTGTGTGTGTCCCCTCTCCATTGCTTGTGCTGGGAAAGCTGGGAACACAGGTGCAGTGTCAGAAGCTGGAAAAGTTCTTGGACTGGTGCAAGTACCCCCCACCACCAGCTAACAAACACCTTATTGGTGCTATTCTCAGGGCAAATCCAAAACACAGCCTCATACCAGCTACTGTGAAGAAATTTAACTCTGTCCTAAAACCAGCACAGACTTATCTGCACGTTTCGGACTTTGGATGCCATGATGAATTATGTCTTAGGAGCGTCTGCTCCTCTCCCTTGATTACAGTGCAAGTGGTTCCATGACAAGCTCAGATGTAGGAATTTAAGACTCAAACCATTTGACAAACATAGGCCTTCAGTGCCATGTGAGACACCCAGGAGCATCTCAGCTGGTCTCCAGTAATGTTCCAGAAGGACAGGTCTCCTGTGGATCTCTATCATAACTGCCAGTGTTAAAAAGGTATCTTGGATACTCTAGAGCACGTTAAAAGGCACTAGATATGTCAACAACAATTAAACCACTGGATACGGACATCTGAAGTTAGGTATGGTGAATCTCTCTTCCACTTGCTACCAGGTTTCCTTATCTTGCAAAAAATATGTTGTTCACTGTGGGTCTAGGACACTTTTCAAAAGTTTTTGGAAACCTCACACTGAAGTCCTGATTTTCTGAAGAGCTTTAGTTCAAGCGGGATGCATTTCACCTGAATTTATCCATTTAATTATAGACTTTTTAGCTAAATGACTTGCTGTTGCTACCTGCCTGATAATAAAAAGACAGCTATCTTCAGAAGGTGATATACTCATCCTCAAGAAGATGTCTAAAAAAATGATCTGATTTGGCTTGGAGTTTCTTTCTCTCCAGCAAGAGAGACTATTAATAATTCAAGCACAGCATCTTGCAAAGGGTGTTCTCCTCCCATTACCTTCAAATGGGGAACTACACTTGGCTATTATCTTAAATCTTTAAGATTATCTTATCTGTATCTTAAATTTAAATTTTAACCTAATTACTGTTAACTTTATTGCTTCTACTCATGTAAGATTAAAAAAATAAAGGTTAACTTTCATTAATTTAAATTATTCACAGTCTGCTAGAATGCCAAGGGAGATGTTTTGTCTTCTGAGTATACTTGGTAATGAATCCAGAGAGGGGCTCCTACCTCAGGAAGCAATGTAAGACATTATGTAGTTCAGAACGGCTAAACCTCACTCTCTCTTTAGGATCCTACAAAAAAATTGGTCACAGCCCTGAAGTGTGGCCCAAACTGCAGAAAAAGGTATCGCAGAATCTGAAGTCATGATCAACGCATCATAACAGAAACTCTGGATTGCTGCTCATGAAAATTGAGGTACGTCCGTATTTTCTATACTATTTTGTAATGAAAATTGGCAAGAAAAATGCTCATTAAAATAGATGGTTCAAGAAAACAAAAGTAACTTAATGTTTTTAAAGGGAAGAAGAGAATGCATCTGAGAAATCCAGGTGTCTGCAATGAACAATGTGATGTCTGAGCTGTATGTTAAGGCTTTCACGGAAATGTAAGAGAATTAAGTACTTCTACGAATTAGCTTATTTTAGATTACTTCTGAAGCATGAACAAAAATAATGTCTGAGAGTTTTTTTCTATTCATAGACTGTAAGGGAAATGCAATTGGGTATCTCAGCTGCTGAAGTTTGTTGTATGGCTGTTTGCAGAAAAAAAAACGCAAAAGCTTTTCTTGATCATTCAGGAAAATATTTCACTTATAAAAATATGGGTTTTCTAAAAAAAAAAATCTCTAAAATGGATCTTTTTTTAAGAAACAGTTGCACAGTTTGAGAAAGGGAGGTGCTACCCATAACAAAAGACAATCAAGTTACAGATATTTCCGTAAACTGAACCCACCCAAACCCATGGATGCCGCAGAAAGTGCTGAGGGAGGTGGCTGATGCCATTGCAAGACTGGTATTTGTCATCTTTGACAGACTGGGGTAGGTTTAGTGACAGAGGGAAAAAAAAAAAAAATGTAATGTGACTGTCTTCAGGAAGGCCAGGGAGAAAGATCTGGGGAATGTCAGCCTCAAGGAAGCATATGGAGCAAATCCTCCTGGAAGCCATGTCCAGGCACATGAAGGCAGGAAAGGACGTGCAACATCACAGATTTACCAAAAAACACATCATGCCTGACCAACCTGACACCTTTCTGTGAGGATGTGACTGGCTCCAAGGGGGTGAGGGCAGAGTGATGCGTGTCATTAAATTACTTCAGGAATTCTTGACATAGTAGCCTTGTAGCCAAACTGTGCAGAACTAAACTGGGTGGGAAAACATTAGGATGGTCTGGACCATCAAGGCTTTAATGAGTAGTGGTGAAGAATCTGAGTCTGGCTGGTAGCTGGCTATAAGGGGCATTTTTCATGGGCTCATACAGGGACTAATGTTTCACATGTTAATTAGTGACTGGGAAGATGTGATGGAGATCCTCAGGAGTTTCCAGATGGCAGAAATTTAAGGACAAGGGAAGAGAGACATACACAGGAACTTAGTGAAGTTCAAGACAAATGCCAAGCCCTGCCTGTGGTACAAAATATACACAGGTATAGACTGGGACTGACCATCTGAGGAGAATCTCTGCAGGGAAGGATGTGGGGTTCTGGTGGATGGCAAGCTGGACATGAGCCAGCGATGTGTCCCTGCACCGGAGAGGAGGAGCCATCTAGCCAGCTGTGTGAGCAAGAGCTAGCCAGGTGAAGGAATGCACCAATTCCCCACTGCTTGGCACTTGCAAGGCCACCTATGGAGGAAGGTGTCCCATTTTGGGATCCCTCTATACAAGAAGGAGATTGATAAATACACGAAAGTGCAGAGAGGACCATTAAGATGATCAGAGGAAACACAGGTCACTATGGTAACAGGCGGAAAGGGGTTGTGTTTTATAACAATGCAGACTTGCAATTTCACTTTACTATGAAGGAATATTGTTTGTCAACACTTGTTGACCTTCCTAAGTGCAGTTTGGAGGGTACTTAACTGCAAACTGTCGGGGAGGACCTTTCCCATCTACTAGTGCTTTCTGCAGTGCACGTAGCTGCTCCTTTCTGTGCTAATGAATGGCACCCCCACACAGAGACCCCAATAAGGGAAACTGGATTAAATGAGAAATGCAATCAGAGTTTCTGATTTACCTTTGTAGCTGGCTTAAAGACATGTAAACTGAGACAGTAATCCAAATGTTTACCTTGGATATGGTAATCTACAGCGCAAATGCCTAAGTACAACAGGTAGATTTAAGATGGTCTGCAAGAGGAAAGTTTCTTGCCATACTAAGTTCATAAGCAAATATCCAGTGACACTGAATAAAGAACAACGGTAGTTTAAAGAATTCACAGAATTGGTAGGTCACTATTTTATATTTAGCAGTGATAAGACCAAATAGTAAAACACACGTTCCGTCCATCCTTCAAGCTTTAAATGTATGGCTGCACCACCAACAATTTTATTCTTTGTTTATTTGAAATCTGTAAATACACGGATGTGTATGAAAATGGAGGAAAACATTTTTTTCCTAAAAATAGAGCAGAGAATGTAATTAGATTTCAGTTCTGTAGGAAATCAATTCATATTTTGCACACAGAAAATAAAACAGGTGAATTGATGAAAACGTATTTCATAAAATACCAGTTGAACTGATATATGAAGTGAACATGGCAGCATTTGAGCTTAATTAAAAAGGAAAACAGACAAACTCTAAGGAAAATAAAAGCTCTTCTGCACTGATGCTCATTGTTTTTTCTTATTACCTCGGTTTTATCACGTGATGCTTTTTTTTCAGTGTACCTCTCAAAATGTTATTTGCCCAGCTACGTGTAGATTGTCCCACTTAGTGAATAACAGAATCAGTTTCAGAGCAGCTCACTGGTTTTATTTCATGCCCATAAAGACTTTTCTTCTCATGTCTTCCTTGTTGGCTCATACAGGCTGCGTTGTTTCTCTTTCACATGGAAGCAATTGAAGTACCGGGGCTCAGAAACCAAACCTACTTCACCTTGCAGGGTTTCTCCCACCTCGCTGCTCGTCAGGTCTTCCTCTTTGAGGGAATTCTTCTGATGTTCCTAATCACGATGTCAGGGAACTTTCTTATCATCGTAGTTGCCAACACTGACCCTGCCTTGCACACCCCCATGTACTATTTTCTAAAAAACCTGGCTCTGATTGAAATTTGCTTTACGCTAAACATAGTGCCCAAGATGCTTGTGGATTTGTTGTTGGAGAGAAAGGTCATCTCCTTTTCCGCCTGCGCCCTACAATTTTACTTTGTCATATCCTTCATCACTTCCGAGTGTTTCCTCCTGGGTGCCATGGCTTATGACCGATACGTGGCTGTATGCCACCCCTTGCACTACACCATAACAATGAACAAGAGAGTGTGTCTTCACATGGTCATAGCATGCTGGATTGCTGGAATTCCGTTTTCATTGGGACTCACTGGTTGGCTATTCAGCTACCCCTTTTGTGGCTCAAAGGAGATCGAACATTTCTTTTGCGACATCACTCCTCTTCTAGATCTGGTCTGTTCAGACACGTATGTATTCAAGCTTCTTGTGTTCGTTGCTACCATTGTAATTATTTTGATCCCCTTTATCTTGATAGCAGCCTCATACATCCAGATAATCCACACCATCCTCCAAATGCCATCTGCTGAAGGAAGGCGCAAAGCGTTTCTCACCTGCGTCGCTCACCTGGTGGTGGTGACGCTGTTCTACTGCACAACTGGTTTGGTACATTTAAAGCCCAAGTCCAGTCTCTTGGCAAATAGCAGGAAGCTGGTGGCTCTTTCTTACACGGTAGTAACCCCTATGCTGAACCCAATCATCTACAGCTTGCGCAACAAAGAAGTAAAGCATGCTCTGAGGAAGACGTTTGGGAGGAGACAATTCTCCAGCGAGGTGCCTCTGCCTGCATAGTCCTACCAATTTTCTGAAAACTGTTCACCCTCGAAAGGTTAAAAATCAAAGAATTAATGCCTTCCTCAAAATCTGCAGAGGGTTTGGACATTTTAGTTTTTGTTGGAAAATACGGAGAAATGTACATAACGTATAATGAACAAATGAATATATTTAATGTAACTGTCCAAAATATTACAGACTACAGAAATAAGACATAAAATCTGTACATTACCTACAAAGTGTTTATGCTTTTTTTTTTGCATTCTTCTACACAATGGTTAACTTCCAACAGTGTCTAAAATAAATCACTGTCGTAAGAACATGACTCTAGCATACATAAACCTAAATTGTAGCAAAATTCCAGAAAAGTCAGTGCTAGGAAAAACCCAAGACTAGGCAAAAAAGGAAGTTGAGGAGTTTAGATCATCTAGTTCCAACCCCCCTGCCATGGGCAGGGACACCTTCCACTAGACCAGGTTGCTCAAAGCCTCATCCAGCCTGGCCTTGGACACTTCCAGGGATGGGGCATCCACAGCTTCTCCGGGAAACCTGTCCCAGTGCCTCACCACCCTCTCCAGGGAGAATTTCTTCCTGATATCCAATCTAAACCTCCCCGCTTTCAGTTTAAAGCCGTTACCCCTTGTCCTGTCACTACAGGCCCTTATATACACCAAACATATATACCTTAGATACACCGAGCTTCAATCTTTCACGTTCCCCACGTACTTGCCCTTTTTTCCCCAAATCCCATGCGCAGGCGGTTGTGCCCAAGAGGGGACTGGCAGCTCCCGCCGGACTGGCCAGAACACGGGGGGTCCTAAGCGGGGTTTTTTCGCCATTCGCCTTTCGGCGACACGGCTGGGGCCGGGGATGTCGGGCCCGGGGGAAGCTCCGAGCGCGGGCGCAGCCGGGACAGCCGCGCGCAGCAGGTGGGGGGGCAGCAGGGGTGCTG